TATATATATATATATATATATGTATATGTATATGTATATATGCATATATACGTTCAAAATGATTCAATAAAAACACATAACGGCAGTACCAGGGAGGGAAGCCAATAGCTGCTATGGGGGGGGGAGAGGAGATGCCAAATGAAACAAAAAAGTCTTTTTTCTGCTGGCAGAAGGCAGACTAATCTACCTGGGGAGGGAGTTCCAAAGGTCTGGTGCCACAACCAAGAAAGCCCTTTCTCGGGTCTAGCCTCAGATGGTGGAGGCAACCAAAGCTGGGCCTCCAAAGATGACCTGAGGGAATGGGTTAGTTCATACAGCAGAAGGTGGTTCTTAAGGTATGTTGGTCGCAGGCCATACAGGGCTTTAAAGGTCAATACCAGCACCGTGACTTGCGCCCAGAAGTGAACTGGAAGCCAGTGTAGATGGAACAAGACTGGAGTGCTATAGTCCCTACAGCCGCAGCATTCTTCACCAACTGCAACTGCCAGACAGTCTCCAAGGGCAGCCCCACAGAGAGCACATCGCAGTAAATAACCCCTGATCCTATAGTTAACACTACTAGAGAAGAAACGGAAGAAAGATTCACAAGCAACATAGAAGGTAGCGTGCAATCCTATGGCCAATCGCTCAATGGTCGAGAGTGTTCTCAAGTCACAACTGCGTTATGGCGACCCCCCCCCCACATGGTTTTCAAGGCAAGAGTTGAACAGAGGTGGTTTGCCATGGCCCATCTCTGTGTAGTGACCCCAGACCTCCTTGGTGGTCTCCCATCCAAGTCCTAACCAGGGCTGACCCTGCTTAGCTTCCGAGATCTGACGAGACCGGGCTAGCCGGGGCCATCTGGATCAGGATGACCACTCGCTGAATTCTGATTAAAGTTGGGCCTTTAGACCGACACCAATTTTAGACAAAAAACACTTTGAGATAGAGGGGGAGAAGTCCAGATTGACAGGCAGTGGCTTTCCGAGCTGTAAGAAAAACAAGCCAAAATGCTGATTCTTCAACAGAGGAGACAGAAACTTGAAGCACACTGAAAGCCCCACACGTTCAGGAGGGACCACATGGCGGATCAAGGCGGCTAGCCTTGAATATACACAGCCTGTGGTTCCCAAGAGCCAGCCACTGGGTAGGGATTTGGCCGGGGGTGGTGGTGGTGTCCTTCTATTGTTCACAGGGATTTGGATGCTGCATTGAGAACTAAGGGCTGAAAAGTAAGTAAAAAACATTTCCAAAACAAGTACAACAAACCCCAGAACTCTGATCTGTATCATTTCGCTCAGTTCCTGAAATTTCCAGGAATATGGTCTGTTCATCACGACGGCATAATTAAACTGGTGGCGGTGGGAAATGCCATCAAGTTGCAGGGGACTTATGTCGACCATGCAGGGTTTTCAAGGCAAGAGACATTCAGGGGCAGCTGGGGTTTGGCCACTGTGCGACACATGGCCTGATCCAACATGGCTTCTCTTATGTTCTTAGAGGTAAGCCTGCCATGGCTTGCCTCTGTGTGGCGACCCTGGACTTCCCAAGTGGCCTCCCGTACAAGCCGTAACCGGGGCCAACCCTGCTTAGATTCCCGGATCTGACGAGATTGGGCTAGCCTGGGCCGTTCGGGCCAGGGCCATAAGAACATAAGAGACGCCAATGTGGGATCAGGCCAAAGGCCCATCCAGTCCAACACTCTGTGTCACACAGTGGCCAGAAATACCAGTGCCATCAGGAGGTCCAGCAGTGGGGCTAGGACATTAGAAGCCCTCCCACTGTTGACCCCCCCCCAAGCACCAAGAAGACAGAGCATCACTTGCCCCAGAGTCCCTATCTATACCTTGTGGCTAATAGCCACTGATGGACCTCTGCTCCACATGCCTTATCTAATTCCCTTTTGAAGCCGTCCATGCTTGTAGCCGCCACCACTTCCTGTGGCAGTGAATTCCAAGTGTTAATCACTCTTTGGGTGAAGAAGTACTTCCTATTTACTTAAAACTAGGTATCATCCAGTCAGTTCGGCAGGTCCATATTAGCAGACCGCTCCGAATGAGTTCACTGCGGCGAGCACTTTTAGGGCAGAGACCATTCACAAGCTAATAATTTGCTGCCTCTAGGATACGGTTCGAGTCACGCCTTTTTTAATGGGTTCTTGAGCAGCTCAGCATTTATAGCCAGCGACACCACCCATGGGCTACAGCAACTACACCCTCTTGTCTAGCATAAAACTATATTTCATAAAACTGCATTGGAACCATAAAATATATGAAGAGCCCGTAAATCAGGGCTTCCCCTTACATTCGGCTCGTCATCTTTATTCTTCCTTGGCATTGTGGATTAACAATACACCCTTCCTGGTCCCAAAGTACAGACGGGTAATTATGCTCACAAGATTAAATGCATTACCTTCTGCGGTTTCTGAAGGCCGCACAATGGGCATACCAACCTCAAACAGATACTGTAGCTGCGGTTTAGAAGCTACTGAGTCTGTAAGACATGTTCTATTTGAACGCCCCTGGTATGATAAGGCGAGACAGAAACGGATTAAACTTTTGACACAACAGTGGCCCAAGTCTCAGCAGATATCCTTGTTTCTAAATTACTAGCAGATTCAAGAGCAGAAAATATACTCATTTTAGCTAAATTTTTACCATGAGTATTTGGGTAACTTGCAAGTTGTCTGTGTAGCGTACATACTGGCGCTCTCTGGTCCGAATTCTTCCTTTCCTCCTTATATTCCCAGTTATGTTTGATAAATGCTACCCAAGACCTACATGAAGGAGGGAGGAAGGGAGGGAGGGAGGAAGGAAGGAATCCACCCTTCTAGAAGAAACTGGCACAGGAGGAGATATTGCGCCATGGGGGATTTCTTTGCATGATTTACTTTCCCAGAAAAGTAATGTGCTGGCTTTTGCTTTGCCCTTGCTTTGAAAAACTTACAGAAGTGTCTACCCTAAGCTCAGGGCATTTGGCATCTCCTGATTTCCAAGCACTCTGACCACTGGAAATATACCAGAAAGGCCAACAGTTTAATCCTCAAGCACGCTGGCTAAGAAACAAGCCTCCACCACAGTTAGGGAGCCGCTAATCCCCGGGTTCACCTCGCTCCCAGCCCCCCCCCCAAAGCCTGCATCAAGTCACAGTGGTAGGGATGCCAGCCTCCAGGTGGGAACGGGGGATCCCCTCAGAATTAGCAGCTCATCTCCAGACTGCAGAGATCAGGTCCCCTGGAGAAAGTGGGTGCTTCCGAGGGTGGACTCTGTGGCATTGTGACCCGCTGAGGTCTCTGTCCTCCCCAGGCTCTATCCCCAAATCTCCAGGAGTTTCCCAGCCTGGATCTGGTAACCTTACCCCCCATCTCCAAGCTGTGCCCGGGGGGGGGCAACCCTAGCCAATGGGTGTATCCAGGGGTCATTCCGTAGAAAAAGAGGTGCAGGAGCTTATTAGCACAACTCATTAGCATAACTTATTTGCATATGCCACACCCCCTGACATCACCGGAAGTGTGTCAGAAGGCAACACCCGCCGCTCAGGCTCCACTGGACTGTCTTGGATCACAGGGACGCCGCGGGGGGGGGGGGGGGGGGAGACATGCAGATCTGTCCTCGCTGGTCCTCTGCAACACAACAGCTAGATTTGGGTTCAAATAAGAATTTCAGAGTGTAGGGTTTTAAGAGTCAAAGCATCCTTCATCAGATACCTGAGCTGACAGTTGCCGCTGAAGCCAACCAGGTCTCTAGTGGGCAACCAAAAGCCCTGCTGGGCTGGAGCCCTACCTGGGACCATCCATTTTGGTGTAGTGGTTAAGTGCACGGACTCTAATCTGGGAGACCCGGGTTTGATTCCCCACTCCTCCACTTGCACCTGCTGGATGACCTTGAGCAAGCCGTAGTTCTGGTACAGCTGTCCTTGAAAAAGAGCAGCTTCTGTCAGAGCTCTCTCAGCCCCACCTACCTCACAGGGTGTCTGTTGTGGGGAGGGGAAGGGGAAGGAGTTTGTAAGCCGCTCTGAGACTCCTTTGGGTAGTGAAGGGCGGGGTATAAATCCAATCTCTTCTTCTTCTAAAACCACTTGGCAGGCACCAGGAGAGATGTTTGCGGGCACCATGTTGGAGACCCTGGTCCACATGTAAATGGAGCACATTAGTGCATCGTACCAAACTTTCATAGCAGAGCGGGGATCGTACCAAGCTTTCACAGCAGAGCAGGGATTTCGACCTGGATCTCCCGGATCATAGTTTGACACTAACCATTACACCATGCTGCCTCAAAAAAAAAAAAAAGATTAGAGGTTGCCGAAGCATCCCCACACATATCACTGGAGGTAACTGGCAACTACATCAGTTTCCCATGTAGGAAAGATGATCCCCTCCCCACCCAAGGCATGAGCTGCCAGTCTGGTCTTGCTTCCTTCCGATGAGGATAACAACCACAACACAGGAGCTGAGTCACTTTGACGTTGCATAATCCTTACACCTGATTTCAAGACAACGCAGTATGCCTCCTTCAGGTACCTTGACCTGAATGTCCTAGGCTAGCCCAGTCTTGTCAGATCTCGGAAGCTAAGCAGGGTCAGCCCTGGTTAAGACTTGGATGGGAGACCACCAAGGAATTTCCAGAGTTGCTATGCAGAGGCAGGCCATGGTGAACCGCCTCTCTTCACCTCTTGCCTTGAAAGCCTCATGGGGTCACCATAAAACAGCTGTGACTTGGCTGCACGGTCCACCACCACCTCTAGGAGCTTGTGAAATAGGTATTGGATTCCGTTTATTTACTAAAGGTTCCCAGGGCCGGCACAGGTAACTAATACAATGCAGGTCAAAACTGTTACCATTATTATCATTGTGGTGATCAAAAATAATATTAACGTTGACAGATCAAGACGGCTAGCTGTGTTAGTCTGTCTGCAGCGGTAGAAAGAGCAAGAGTCCAGGAGCACCTTAAAAACTAACAAAACGTGTGGCAGGATGTGAGCTTGCGTGTTCTGAAGAAGTGAGCAGCGACCCAGGAAAGCTCATATACCCTACTTCCGTGTCTTTGGGTGAAATTTTTGACTCTGATTCGGATTTGGATTTAGGAGCTGCGGACCCTAAAGCTTTTAAAGCAAATCTCCCCTATCAAAAGAAGAAGAAAATCAAAGCTAAGAAGAAATCTAAGTGAAGATCGGAGATTACCTATGTTGACATTTAACTTACTTATATTCTCAACCAGATGTGATGTAATATCAAAAATGCCTTTATGTTCTTTCTTTTTGAACACTTTTATTAGATTTTAAAGAAACTGAATGACATTTTTAGCATGTAGACATATATTTAAAGCATTTGATCAGCCTATCAAAGGTTCTTGTTACTCTCTTTATAGTTTTAGTTTTGTAGGGTTTAGGTTTTGTAGTGTGTAGGACAGGGCTTTTTTTGAAGAAAAAGCCCAGCAGGAACTCATTAGCATAATAGGCCATACCCAACAGCAGGAACTCATTAGCATATTAGGCCACACCCTGACAGCACAGCTCATTTGCATATTAGGCCACACCCCCATGTTACCAGAAGTGTGGTTACCCAGCCACACCCACCTTTTGCTTCTTATTCTCTTTACCTTGTTTGTTGTCAAAACCCAGGGCTTTTTGCATGTTAGGCCACACACCCCTAATTGTAGCCAATCCAAATGAGTTTCTCCTGTTGGGTGTGGCCTATTATGCTAATGAGTTCATGCTGGGCGTGGCCAACTTGGGAGCCAGCCGGAACTCCGTTCCTGTGCGTTCCTGCCCAAAAATAGCCCTGGTGTAGGAAGAAAAGCAATAAAAAGTATTTTTAAAAAAGAAAGCTCTTGCCACAAGTTTTGTTTGTCCTTAAAGTGCTACCAGACTCGTGCTGTTTTCTAATATTAATGTTATCATCATTCATAATATTAATAATTATATTAATACAGTTAATGTTGATATTAATGTGAACATTATTATTGACAACCACCACCACCACCAATAATAATGTTTTGTGCATTGCCCTTGCTGGAGTACCCCTCAGCCATGTTCTTGGCTGTGATCAGAACCCAAATCCGAGTACAACCACCCTTCCACAGGCCCAGTCGAGAGGACCCCCGATTCCTCTGAAGAGAGGAGGCGAGCTCTTTCACGTCCGCTCCCGTACCTGACTGCCATGATGCGCACTGGCTGAGACCTGTGCACTTTCTGCTGTGGAGACAAAGGCTGAAGCGGGTTTGTTCCTGAGGCGGGCTGCGGCTGGCCGCGGCCCAGCTGGCCGTTCTGCAGAAGTGGTTTGCTCTCCGAATGCATGCTGTAGGCGGAGTACAGGCTTTCGAACGAAGAGTTCATGTCGTTGACTAAAGCTTCCAAGTCCACGTCGTCATCTGAAAGGACACGAGAAGAAAGCGGGCAAAACCAGAGGTCAGAAGAAGCAAGAGAAGTTCTAGGCAGGTAACAGGGCTGCTCTGCACAAAACGATTCAGTCACTTGGATAAATGATTCGGGACGGCAGTCTACTCTACTGCATACAGCGTGCCTAATTTAATGTGCCAAGTTAATAGAAGAAGAAGAGATTGGATCTATACCACGCCCTTCACTACCCAAAGGAGTCTCAGAACGGCTTACCAACTCCTTTCCCCTCCCCCTCCCCACAACAGACACCCTGTGAAGTAGGTGGGGCTGAGAGAGCTCTTGACAGAAACTGCTCTTTTTCAAGAACAGCTCTTATCAGAACTACGGCTTGCCCGAGGTCATCCAGCCAGGTGCAAGTGAAGGAGTGGGGAATCGAACCCGTTTCTCCTAGATCAGAGTCCGCGCACTTAACCACTACACCAAACTGGCTCTCTTATACTTATGCTCTGCTTCTGTCCTGCTTTCCGATTTCTAGTTGGTTCTACAACCCGGATCCTATTGCATTGTCTACTTTATGTTGGTTCTACAACCTGGATCCTATTGCATTGTCTACTTTATGTCCCATTCCTGTTGACTGTCTTGATTCACGGTTTAATCTGCCTTGAATCCAGCGAGAAAGGCAGACTATAATGTAAATAAATAAAAATAAATTATACCAAATCGAAAATCTTTAGCTTTCTCTAAAAATGGCAATCTGGGTCTTTCCAAATGGACTACAGCAAACTCAGAACAAAGCTTGAGTCCAGTGGAACCTTTAAGACAAAAGTTTTATTCTGGGTATAAGCAAACTCAGATGTTGAACAAGTCAGGAATTTCTGCTACTTGGGTACTGGTTTTTTTATTATTATTATTGTGGTCTTAACCAGATCTTCAGGCGAAAAGGAAAGATTTACCCAACTGAACGCAAATTTCCAGAGAACAGCAAGGAGAGATAAGGAGGCCTTCCTGAATGAACAGTGCAAAGTAATAGAAGAAAACAATAGAATGGGAAGGACTAGAGATCTCTTCAAGAAAATTGGAGAAATCAAGGGAACGTTCCATGCAAAGCTGGCCATGATAAAGGACAAAAACGGTAGGGACCTAACAGAAGCAGAAGTGATTAGGAAAAGATGGCAAGAATACACAGAAGAACTATACAAGAAAGACCTCGATGTCCTTGACAAACACGACGGTATAATCACTGACCTCGAGCCAGACATCCTGGAATGTGAAGTTAAATGGGCCTTAGAAAGCATTACTAACAACAAAGTTAGTGGAGGTGATGGTATTCCAGCTGAGCTATTCAAAGTCTTAGAAGATGATGCTGTTAAAGTTCTGCACTCCATTTGCCAGCAAATTTGGAAAACGCAACAGTGGCCACAGGATTGGAAAAGATCAGTATACATTCCAATCCCAAAGAAGGGCAATGCCAAGGAATGTTCAAACTATCGCACAATTGCACTCATATCACACGCTAGCAAGGTCATGCTCAAGATCCTACAAGCTAGGCTTCAACAGTACGTGGATAGAGAACTACCAGAAGTACAAGCTGGGTTTCGAAGAGGTAGAGGAACTAGAGATCAAATTGCCAACATTCGCTGGATTATGGAGAAAGCAAGAGAGTACCAGAAAAATATCTACTTCTGCTTCATTGACTATGCTAAAGCTTTTGACTGTGTGGATCACAACAAACTATGGCAGGTCCTTAAAGAGATGGGAGTACCAGACCACCTCACATGTCTCTTGAGAAACCTGTATAAGGGCCAAGAAGCGACAGTTAGAACCGGATACGGAACAACTGATTGGTTCAGCATAGGAAAAGGAGTACGACAAGGATGTATACTGTCACCTTGCTTATTTAATATATATGCAGAGTACATCATGCGAAATGCTGGCCTGGATGAATCACAAGCGGGAATTAAGATTGCTGGGGAAAAGATCAACAACCTCAGATATGCAGATGATACCACTCTAATGGCTGAAAGTGAAAAGGATCTAAAGAGCCTCTTGCTCAGAGTAAAAGAGGAGAGCGCAAAAGTGGGCTTGAAGCTCAACATCAAAAAAACTAAGATCATGGCATCCGGCCCCATCACTCCTTGGCAAATAGAAGGGGAAGCCGTGGAAGTAGTGACAGACTTCACGTTCCTGGGATCCCAGATCACCGCAGACTGTGACTGCAGCCATGAAATTAAAAGACGCCTGCTCCTTGGGAGGAAAGCGATGGCGAACCTAAACAGCATGATAAAAAGTAGAGACATCACCCTGCCAACAAAAGTCCGCATGGTCAAAGCAATGGTATTCCCAGTAGTCATGTATGGCTGCAAGAGCTGGACTATAAGGAAGGCCGAGCGCAGAAGAATAGATTCTTTTGAACTATGGTGCTGGAGAAGACTCTTGAGAGTCCCTTGGACTGCAAGAAGATCCAATCAGTCAATCCTAAAAGAAATCAACCCTGACTGTTCCCTGGAAGGCCAGATAATGAAACTGAAGCTCAAATACTTTGGCCACCCAATGAGAAGGGAGCACTCACTGGAGAAGACCCTGATGCTGGGAAAGATTGAAGGTCAAAGAAGACGGGGACGGCAAAGGATGAGATGGTTAGACAGTGTCATCGATGCAACGAACATGAAGTTGAGCCAACTTCAGAGGACGGCGGAAGATCGGAAGGCCTGGCGAGAGCTCGTCCATGGGGTCGCGAAGAGTCGGACTCGACTGTGCGACTGAACAACAACAACAACCTGTGTAAATTTGCCCTGAATAAGATTAACCGTGCTTCTGGAGCAATCTGTCACTTCTTCTTTACGAGGGAGGAAGATATATCCCTGGTGCAATTCAGGTGTCCAACTGTAAAATAATACCCCACCTACTTCAAGGAGTTGCTATCTCGATTTCAGTGATCTCAGAATCTTTTGATCCTCCCCTATGCCAGTTTATATGTAGGGTAACAGGAGTCCCTCATTGCATTTCAGATGTATGTCTCGGAGCTGATCTCAACCAAAAGTCATTGGAAGGCAGAGCACAGTTCAGAGCTTTTAAGCTAAAGCTAAGGATTATTTTTGCTTCAGAAGCAGAGGGTCTCTGTTCTTTCTTAAACAAGATGCTTACCATTCTCAATAGATGAAGACAGTAGATGCTAGACTAAGGCAGCTAGGGCTTACAGCTTTAGATTTCTTCTTGCTAGGTAAGGCACAGACCCTTTCGCAAGGTCCAGCATCGACTTACAGAGCCGAATAACACCAGCATGGCGATTCGCTCTCGCAGTCTGCGCGAGTCAGTTCTTTGGTATCTTACTTCCCCGGACTCTGCCATTATACATGAAACACCTAACCCCTCTCCCCACCTTCTTTGAACATTCACTTTAGCCAGGGCTCTTTTTGTAGAAAAAACCCAGCAGGAACTCATTAGCATAATAGACCACACCCAGCAACAGGAACTCATTAGCATATTGGGCCACACCCTTGACAGCACAGCTCATTAGCACATTAGGCCGCACCCCCATGTTACCAGAAGTGTGGTTATCCAGCCACACCCACCTTTTGCTTCTTATTCTGTTGACCTTGTCTGTTGTCAAAACTCAGGGCCTTTTTTTGTAGCAGGAACTCCTTTCCATGTTAGGTCACACACCCCTAATGTAGCCAATCCTAATGTGTTTCTGCTGTTGGGTGTGGCCTATTATGCTAATGAGTTCATGCTGGGCGTGGCCAACTTGGGAGCCAGCCGGAACTCCATTCCTCAGCCCCGTAGCTAGGGAATTCTTTGGGAGGGGGCCTTGGGGGTGCCTGCCAGCTAATTAAATGGAAGTACAGTGCAGGTGGTAAGTTGGAGCACTTTGGGGGCAGCCCCAGAGGGAGGGGGCCCAGAAGAAACACAAGGGGGCCGGGCCCCGTGGGCCCCATGTTAGCTACGGGCCTGCCATTCCTGTGCGTTCCTGCCCAAAAATAGCCCTGACTTTAGCTCAACTTAATGCCACCCCCTCCAAAGTGTTACAGGGCAGATCCTATCGTATTCCATATTAAGATCGTCTTGGCCCTTGCGGTTGGAGTAAAACTGATACTCTATCTCACAAAACACTGGAATGGCTTTTTTTCTTTACTGTTTTGGGAACTGTTGGATCTCACCGCTTTTAACAAGTTTCTCATTTAATAAACTTCAAGGGGATAACATTCCCTATTTGATGCTAGACAGTCACCCAAATGCAACCTACTTGGTCGCTAAATCTCTGCCTAGTGTATTTTCCTCTAATCAATAATGTGTTCCAATAGGAAAGACTCTATATCGGCCCGTGCTGCACTTGCACTTTATTATACGACACCGCCAGATTTAAATAGTTTTAACTGTATTTAATTTAATTGGAAATGAGCTGAGCTGTTTTATTGAGTTGTATTTTATGTATGTATTTATGCTGGTTTTATAACTGTCGTAAGCCGCCCTGAGCTGCTTCAGCGGGAGGGCGTGATAGAAATCGAACGAATAAATAAATAAATAAATAAATACATAAATACATAAATACATAAATAAATAAATCTTTTAGTCATTGCCCAAGATCATCGGATAATAGGCGCTCTGAAAAAGAAAGCAAGGAAGGAAGTAAATAGGGTTAACCCAGACTTGGATAGCCCAGGCTACCTCAGTCTTATGAGAGAAGCTAAACAGAGTCGGCCCCGGTTAGTACTTAGATGGGGGACCACCAAGGAAAACTGGGGTTGCTACACAGAGGGGGCGTCCTTTTATGTTCTTATGTTGTCTGGCATTCCCGCCGCGTGTCAAATTTCTTTGGGTCTGCCCGCAGATCTCGGCACTCTCAAGGTAATTCCCGGAGGTGCTGCTGTTACTGATCATAGCTAGGGTTGCCATCTCCAGCTTGGGAAATTCCTGGAGATTTAGGAGGTGGAACCTGGGGAGGGGAAGAAACTCAGTGGGGCTAAATTCCATAACCCACCCTCCGAAGGGGCCATTTCTCTCTAGGGGGATTGACTTCTCTCATCTGGAGATC